GTAACATCTCAAAAAGCTTGTTTCAAAATTTTATAAGCATTAATTACCTGCAAGTTGTCATCTGTTGATTAATATGTCAATATAACAAGTTAATGTAATTTGATAGAGTATTAAGAGTCAGAAAAATTTTGTTAGAAACAAAGAAAAAAATACTGAACTGTTACATGATATGTCATCCTTTATGGCAACGAATGTTGGACAATCTCCTCAAAGATTAAGAAATTGACTTGAAGCAACAGAAATATAGTTCTCCAGAAAGATACTGAGGATACCATGGACCAAACATGTGAACAAGAAGGTTTTTTGATAATGGAAACAAAAAGGAAACTTAAACTTAACATCAGGAGGAGACAGTTGAAATTTCTGGGGCACATAATAAGGAAGGAGGGCTTGGAAAATCTGATACTCACAGGACAGATTGAGGGACAGAGGAAAGCAGCATATAACATCCTTGATGGTCTTGAACAGGGTTTGGGAGAAATAACAAAAAGACAAAGCTTATTAAGAGCTACAAGGGACAGGAAGATGTGGAGGGACATGATTGCCTACATTCTGAAGGGTCATGGCACATAAAAGAATGTAATTTGTGCAAATCTCCATTGTTTAACTTTCTTCCAGAGTTAGCATACAACAAATGGTTGATTACCCAAGTTTATATTAAGTTGGTATTTTATCTGTATGCCCACTGGAACTGAATGTGGCACAAGGTCAAGTTTGAAGAGGGAGGCCATACGTATGTGGACAAGACAGAAAGTACTCAAAGTATAAAGTCTGGCTGTAGTGATCACATTTCTCTTGGATTCTTTTCTAACAATAAAACCTTTCCAAGAAACACCTGAAGAATGTTAGTTTTATGAATTATAATAAGCAGTCTAAAAATATTTACAGATGTGCACATACTTGTATTAGTATATAATGTTTTGTTGTAGTTATCTTTTGTTGAGAAATGGTATTCATTAGTATAACAATATTAGTCCAAATTGTCACACTCTTGTGACCGTGTGTCATTCTAAGCTTAAAAAAACTTGTAAATGCAAATGGTTAAAACACTAAATTACCTCCCCTGTCTAAAAATATTTCTGGATTATTAAACTTAGTTTGGAAGATTGATCATTTACCCCACCCACTTAGTATCTTTTAACTCAAAATGGCCTAGAAGAGATAGAAGTATTTTTTTATAATCTGCTGCCAAAAGTTATGACAATTTGCTTACTCTTGAACTAATTCCTGCTGTAGGAATCATTTTAAAATTGTTGGTGAATTTACAGAACTGGAACCCTCATACAGAATTCAGGCGTAAGCTACTTTGTGTTCATGTTGTGTTTATGCACTTGAAAAAGTCATGAATTCCCTGTCTTGGGTTCATAAGAATCAAATATCATTTATAGTTTAAACAAAGTAGCAAAATCTAGGAATGTAACATTACAAAACATTCTCTCACTCTTGAATTCAATATATATATATATATATATATATATATATATACCTTTTTTTTTTTTTTTTTTTTTTTTTTACTGGTAATCTTATGTTGAGATTGACAATATTCCATATTTGGTTGGTATTTTTTTGTCTAAAGTGTTTGATTGTTTTCCATTTATATGCTATGTGCCTGCATGATGTAAGCGATCATGGCACTCCACAACTTCTTATCCTTTCTAGCTTTTGGCAATATTTGTCTTTTTACTATCCTTCTCATTCCCTGTTTTGTCATCCATCTGTGAAAATGTGTTGGGTAGGTTACTTGTTGTTTCACTCTGTTTCTCTTGCTTTCACTATGTCCTCTGAGTGTCAAATTTTCCAAGGCTTCTTTCCTCATGTGTTCCCAAAGTTTTAGCTGTCTCTTTCTGATTCTAGGTGCCCTGTTTGTTTCCATTTTCCTTAAAATATCCTTGATATTCTCTGAATTCTTCTTTAGAACCAAATCTCTTGTTGTCTAGAATGATCTTAAATTGTGGAATTAACAAACAAACAAATTTTTTTTTTTATTACTGTTTAATGTGATAAGTTGGCCATTTTACTTTACAACTTTTGTGTTATGGGAATCTTGCTTCAATATTTTCCTCAAGTTTTTCAGATGGATTTTTATAGCAAATAGAATTTTAAAATTCTGATTTTAATTGGTTCTTTCTATTTTTTTCCCACTTTTTTTTTTTTTTTTTTTTTTTAATCTCTCTGCTCTGTTTATCTTGTTTACTAAAACCCACTTTTGATAGAGCATTTCATATCTGTGACCTTCCCCCTCCCCCCAAAAGAATGTCTCACATTTTTTAAATTTTACAACTGGCCTTTCCTTTTATTACTTTTGAAGAGGTGTTTGGAGTTCCGCCTTTGCCTACTTTTGGGTGTGATTAAAAACAATTGTTTTAACAATTTATTTAGTATTATGTTACTACTTTACTATTCTAATATTAAGTTTATTTGTTGTTTTTTTTTCTTTTTTCACTTATCCCACTTCTACCTTGCCCTCCAAACAATACGAGTGGGATTTAATGTTGAACTGATTAAGAATTTTTAAAAGTTTCTCTAAAAAAAGCATTCCTCAATATCAACAGGCTATTGGTATTATGAAAAGTATATAATCAACAAAAAATACTCAACATTCTGGGAATTGTTTGAAAGACTGAACTAATATTTTTGTGCGTGTTGCTTTTTTTTTATTTAGACAAAAAAAGAATCTCTAACATTTTTATTCTTTGTTTTGAATTGGTATTGTCTGAAATAAGAGATTCCAAAGTATCAGTATGAAAAAATATATGGCTTTTAAGATTACTTTAAACAACTATACTGTTAATGAATTATTAAATTTATTCAAATTTATGATTGAAATAGTTACAAATTATTTTTTTTTCTCTTCACACAGTTGAACATTAATTCTATGTTTTTGATGTTAACATATTCTGTTTGATCCATTTCAAAGCCTTTTGCGAAAGGTATAATCCATAAGAAAAGAGCAAAAAAAAACTCTTTCTCTAGATTGATTTCATATCAATATATTTGCAAATAAAATAGCTTCCATAGTCATTGAAAAATAAATTTATCTATTTTATTTCTAATTAGATGAATGATAGTTTTATTAGTGTTTTTTTTTTTTTTTTTCTTTCTTTTTCTCCTCCACCCACTTTCTCTTTAAGCAAGAGAAGGTATATAGAGCAGTATTTTTATATGCTGCCTGGGTGAAGGAAACAATTTGTACTGTCAGTCTTGCCTAGGTTAACTTCAAAGTATACTGTACATAGTTTATAATATTTTTAAATAGTTTTTATTTCTTCTGTGCTTAGTGAATTCATGTTAAGCAAAAGAACAAAATTTATATTTTCTCTACATTTTATTACTTTTATAATTAAAAAACTTGTGTTAAAAAAAATGTCTGTCTATAAAGGTTATTACAAGAAGACGGTAATCAGTGTCCTTGTTCTGTTACCTTTCCAAGTGGTCTTTACTAACAGATGATTATCCATAGCTACTTTAATGTGACATATCTGGGCCAGAATCTTGGGTGACAATGGCTAGTTTATATGTTTTTTTATGCATAAACCATGCACACATTGGCTCACCTGACTTTTATTAACTGACCTCTGTTTGTGCTATATAATTAGCACCATTTGCATACAGATGTACACTCTTTTTACCTGAAAGATTATCATAATTATCTTCTCCAAAGTAACAAATCTCTTTCAACACTTTACAAAGAAAAAATTTCTGATGGTAGTAAACATTTTTCAAATCCTTTTTTTGAATGCATCTAGAATTATTCTTAATGATCAGTTTAAGTGGAAAATAAAATTGTTCAAAATTATAAACAGTTTTTGTTTTTTTTTAATTCACATATACTGGGGTCCTCAACTTTGACAGTTCCGTTCTGACAATGTTGTAACATGATTTTCTGTGTAAGTCGGAATGTACCTGCAATTTTCCATAAATAAGCACTTATGTTGCTCACTTATGTGAATGCAATAGTAAAGTAATAATCTAGGACATAACAACACATTTCAATGACATGTTAACATAATTAGGACAATAAAAAAAAAAAAACATACAGAGGACATAAATATAATACATAAAATTAAATTGTTTTAAGCAACTTGTATATTTATTGCCAGTGATGTCATAGGCTTTCAATAGATAAGATGATGGAGCATAAGATCTCATCTCTCTTACCTGTGCCTGTTACAGCATTCACCTAGTCAGATGAGCCAGCTCCATGAAACCAACCCACCACAATCTAACAAAAGCTGAACAAGTATAGCAGAGGTTGTATTCATTCAGGCTTGCAAATCAATAGGAATTTTAATGGGAATTTGGATTCACAAGCAGTCCTCAATAACATATATACACACTTTTTAAGATGGTGCAATCTGGTGAGAATTAAGTTTCCTTCTCCTAGACTGGTTGCCATCCAAGGCTATCAGTCCCAATCTGTCCTGCTATTTTACCCATTATTGGGTGGGGGACAAGAGATGGCATCATATTTTTCCCAAGGGTATTAGCATGTAAGTAAATGTAATGAACTTGACTGGAATTCGAACTCGGTTCTCCGCTTCCTCAATCTGAGCCACTAACCATTACTCCACTATGCTTCCATGTCTCTATTATAGTATTGAGAAATAGTAACAAATCTGGGAAAGAAAGAAAAACAAACTCAAGTTTGTTTTTCTCTTTTTATTGGGAATTCACCAACTTCTATTGCGGGTGTTTGCATCATATGTACAAGGCAAACAGCATAAGTCAAAACAAGATTAATAAAGTGTGTCATAACTGTAAAACATAGATCAGGACTATTGTAACCAACCGACCAACTAACTGTAGTTTTTTTTTTTTTTTTTTCCATTATGGAACAATTCAGTTTTGTTATCAAATGGAGTTGATGGATTAAATTAACTGTAATGAGCATAAGATATGTATGACTTTCTTAAGTTCAGCATGTTTTATAACATGAGGCTATTATGACATTTACAAATGGTCTATTAACTGTTTGCGATAACTTTTCTCTATTTGAAAATATGTTCCTCTTTCCTTCTCTCTCTCTCCACCTCTTTTTCTCTCTTTCAAGTATGTGATTATGAAACTCATTAATCTTGTATTTAGAATGGATTCTCTTTGCTGATAGTCTTTAAATCCAACATTGATCCCAACTTGCAATTATTATTTTTTTTTTTTTTTTCAGAATTGAAATTTGATTCTATCCATTTCTATCATTGCTAATTGCAAAAATCTTTGTCTTCTCCAGAAATGTATGTCAGTTTTCATATATAAATATATAATGCAATGATTTAATTTTAGGATATATGAGAAACAGAGAAATCGAGAGCGCTGAAAGGTTCTCATCTTGCCCAACAAGTCTCTCTTTTAAAAAAAAGAAAAACAAAAAGATCTTGATATATGATCTGATTCTGGGAGATGGGTTGGATTGAGAGCTTTTAATACCTAGTTGCATGTACATATGAATTAGGATCAAATACAGATGAAATTTGGATTGGAATCCAACAGAGGATAATAACGTTTATAATTGATTCCTATTTGTTCTTTATCATAACATATAAATACACACAAATACACACACACACACATATGGCTGGCCACTTATTTACAAGGGCATCTAGCCAATTTCTGTTGCAGAAGCCTGGTCAAGCACATTTTGTTTTTGCCCAACACCCACAGGTTTATACTGCAACAGTGCTGAACAGACCTTAGTTACAGTTTCTGGGAAAGAGTGCGCTATCAAGTATGATCAACATACTGAACAATGCCAGCATGCTCAAAACCTGTCACAATTACTTGTGATACTCATGCTAGCATAACCATCAACATCTCTCAGGGAGTTCTGTCTACCTAATTTCACTCATAAAGCTTGGATCACCCGTAGTATGATTTTCAGGCACTTTTCAAAGGTGCTGCATGCTGGGATCACCTCCCCCAGACCAATAACATTAGGAAATCACCACAGGAGACAAATCAACCATGAGGTCTCATGGTCAGAAAGCAAACATTCTAACCACTCAGCTACATGTCCATACATACATAGTTTTATGGTATATTTATGCGTAAAAGTGCACAATATCAAAGGGTATGTAAATATACATAAAGATGATCTGAAAATTGTGTTTAAGCCTGAAACAGACTGCCACTGCTTGGTGTTGACCTCAGTGTCCACTTGTATGTGAACTTGTGCCGTGTTTTCTTTTAGTTCTATTTCAGTATAGCTGATTATAATATATTGTTAAAAAACTAAAACATTAACCTAAGAACTCAAGTTATGTTTTCAACTCACTTCATCAGATCTAGACTGATGTCCAATTCATTCAGAATTGTCACAACTTTCAGGTCTATACAGCCATTTCCTTGGGTCAGTGATTTAAAATGGCTTCAAGCTAAGGACCCTTGTAGGTCTTCAAGAAAACTATCCTTCATCAGTTCTTACAGACTGATGCTACAGGATCACAAAGAATTTTACCAAATAACATGTAACTTGAGAGAAAATAATGGCAACTTTTAACAAGGGTTAACAGTAGACTTGAGAAACCTGTTTTCCTGAAAAACTGTTTTAAGAGAAAGATTTTATAAGTTTCAATTGACACTAACTTTTCGATCAATGAATGCTGAAAGTTTCCTCATAAGGAAACGACTAATCTCACTACTATCATTAAGTAGTAATTATACTAACTTTAAACTATTTTCTGTACCATATGATTAATCTAATTTTTATAAATGCAACACTGATTGTGTAGGATATGATATATAAAAGCTTCTTTTTTTTCTTCTTTTTTTAAATTTCATAAATAAATCAGAAAACTAATACATTGCATTAGATGAACCAAAAACGTACAATATAATAGTACCTTTTATGGATTCCTGTTTGGAAAACTAACTGCAAATCCTAATTCCTAAGCTGAACTTTTCAAAATATTATCTGCACTTTCAGATGTTCGCTTTAATCAGCTTGTAATTCCTGTGCTTAGTATTTGAGCTTAGTTTTCAGTTCAACTCCTAAGCTTATTAAAGTTTAGTGTTTGTATCTCTAAGCTCAACCAAAAGCTGCTAGATCAGCTTAAACTTTGCCAGTATATAATAGGTTTACAGAACATAGCAGTTGTGTTAACTGAGCAAATTTAAAAAAAAAAAAAAAAAAAAAATAAGTCCTTAATTATAGACATTTGATTTGAAAGCCCTTTTTATTTCTAACCGGAATTTATGCAAATTGTGATTTAATTTTTTTTCTATATGCTTGACTTACAGAATGAATGAAGAAATCTGTTTTTTTTGTTTTTTTTCTCCTTACAATATTAATGAATTGTTAATTCATACTATTTTGAATTACATATTTTTATGAGGAAGTGTTTGAGCTGATCTTTTTACATTGCAACCTTTTATGGAAGTAAAACTGCTGTGTTCTATTGACTTGGTTATGGAAATTAATTATCATTTACTACAAGTTGTTCCTAAAATTTTTTTTCTCTGGGCCACATTTTCAGAATGAAAATTTGCTCATGCCTCCTCACCAAAAAGAAGTCCTGGTGGAAAGGTGCCAGCAGCCCTACAGCAAAGAAGACACACACACACACACACACACACACATTGGGGTGGGGGGTTAAAGGGAAATAACTGCAGATTCAAAGTCAGAACAGTATCATTGATAACTCTCTCCTCCTATTTGCAGACCCTAGTTTCTATATTCTTAGTACTTGTTATAATGCAAAAATATCACAATGATAAAATCGGTCAATAATTATTTATACTGGGACTCATGCATGCAATTACAAGTAATCCATAATATTTTTTAAATTTTGAAATCCTTTTTTATCTTTGGCATATGAATTTTTTGAAACTGTTTCTAAATCTCTGATTATCTTTCAATCATTCCACCTCACCTACTATCCTCTTCCACCACACCTACAAGGTGCACTTCACTGTATTGTTTGAGAACCACTGATTTACTATATAAGCTACTTTTTTTCTTTTTCTTTTTTTTTTTTTTTTTTTTTTTTTGACCAATAATGGATTTAAAGAAATCTATTGCTTAGTCATTTGGTCAGGTTTTAGGTATTGGGTTAGACCAAAAGCATTCACACATCACACACACGGTTTAACAGTAGGCATAACTTTTTGCTGTTATTTCCTTGACAGGGAAGGTAATTAAAGTATTTGTTCATCAAGCATTACAGAATGTCGGTGATATTATTCTTGTAGATATTTAGTAATGAGGAATTTTTTTTTTTTTTATTTTTTTTAAATGATTTCACCCAAATCAAATCAATAAAGCTACTAAGATGCAAATGGTTACTGGGTGTAAGAGAATGTAAGAAAAGAATGCATTAAGGAGCAAGAACAATAAAACACAAGAATTAAGAAGACAAAAGATAACGATTGACATTGCATTTAAATTTTTGGAGGTCAAAGTTGACTGAGAAGCAAGCAATGAGGAGAGCATTCCACAAGTGAGAAATGCGAGAGAAGAAACTTACTATAGAACTTAGTTACATCTAGCTGCTTCAACTGTAAAATGATGAGACCTAGTTGCCAATCTAGTATTGTGCTTGAATTCAAAGTCTAGGTATGAAAGAGAAAAGCTCAACAATCTTTTTTTTTCTTTCTTTTTTCTTTTTAATCGGAATCAATCCATGCAAAGCAGTAATGTCACTAAAACACAAGGGGTTACAGGGTGTGGAAGAATTAGGAACAGAAATATTAATGATGAGCAGAAAAAGAGAGTAATCAGGTGGACAATAGATAGTGATTGACATTGCATTTAAATTTTTGCTGATGGAAAACATAGTGCCAGAAGGAAGTTCCACATGCAAGAAGTGCAAGAGAAGAAACAGCATAGAATTTACAGCTACAACTAGCCAGCTCAACTGTAAATTAACGAGATCTTGATGCCAGTCTAGTGCTGTGTTTAAATTCAAAAACTCTTGGTACCATAGTGAAGAGCTCAATCAAACAATTACCATGAAAGTATTTATAGAAAAGGCACAGAAATTATGTTATTGTGGTAGGAAAGTAACTTAAGCTGAAGTCAGGACCAATAACACTGCAGATTCTTCTTTGGATTTTATCAAGAATATCTGAATACTTAACAGAAGTACCAGAGCAGATGTGGCAGCAATATTCAATGCCTAGACTAATGGTAAACTTATAAATGTGTGTGATAGATTCAGGTGAGAAAAATTGTCTAATGCAACACAGTGAACCAACTTTCCTAGCAGAGCCCTAGTAATTGATTCAATATAATCTTTCCACTTCATGTCTGTGAAAAATGACAGGAATTGTGGAAAGAAGTGAATCCATGCCTTTCTAAGGGACAGGAGTACAAAGTGAACACAATATTCTCAGCTAAAGTTTGAACCCAGTTTACCAATCTTTCTGTGCTGATAACTATTAAAACATACACACATGTCTGGAAATCTTAATTTTATGGTGTATTAAAAAATGCCTACTTAAAATAATCTTTCTGTCTATATCAGATTTTTTAAGATATTGCCATTTACTTAAAGAATACAACAAATTATTGAATAAGTTGCAGGCTGATAGGGATATATCTTACAAGAGACATATTTTAAAAGATCCACTTTGTAGTTTAATTTGCCGCTTTTGCATAATTTTTTTTTAAATCATTTCACCCAAAGCAAGGCAATAAAACCACTAAGATGCAAGGGGTTACTGAGTGTGAGAGAATGAAGAACAGGAATTAAGAAAACAGAAGATAACAATTGACATTGCATTAAAATTTTTAAAGATCAAAGTTGACTGGGAAGCAATAAGCCAGAAGAGTGTTCCATAAGTGTGAGAAAAAAACTGTTAGCATAGAACCTACAGTTCCATCTAACCATTTCAACTGTAAAATAATAAGACCTTGCCACCAATCTAGTACTGCTAAAGTTCTCTTATTCTACTTAGCTATCGTTTCTACATTCAGTTTTGTTTGATGTGAATTTCATTTAGACATTCATCTAAAATGACTTATTTTTAGATATCATCTCTTGGATTGTTAGGTGATTTTAAATTTACATTATTTAGTGTTATAAATTATCTCATAAATTGCTTTCCTTATTTTC